CAGCAGCAACAGGAGAGGGAACAGGCGGCGAGGACGAAAGAGGAGGACCCGAGACCAGTACGGAGAGCAGCAGGAAGGGTGAGCGAAAAAGGAGGCAGCAGATTATCAAGGAGGGAGACCACGGCACGCAGCGCGCAGCAGCAGGGGGACGGGAGACACGGAAACTGCAAGCCAAATGAAACATTGAGAGGTCTCGTGAAGCGCTGTGCCTCCTGCCCCGCAGGAGAGCATGGCTGCGTCCAGTGGCGGCCCAAGCCACCAAATTAGCGGAATCCGAAAAGACTCGCAGGGAATGAGAGGAGGAGAGACAAGAAGATGGAGGCCAGCGCTTGAAGCTGCCTCATATGTTTGGCCATCAGTTAAACATTGCGCAACATAGCAGCAACTTGGATCGATACCAACTCTTCTCTAATATCGGACTCTCGCATGACACGCATTCAGAAGGTAAAGCCTGACATGCAGGCATCTGCATGTAACTTTTACGCTGACGGAAGGCGTTTCCTCTTCGCTGGCTTTTTCTTGATCTTTATGATCCTGCTTGCTGTTATTTGTGATACTTCGCAAGGGACACGGAGGGCACGTTCTTTTCGAAGTGGGGCTCGTGTAGAGAATTGTGAGGAGGGGACCTGTAACGGGGAAGTGCATTGTAGCATCGTTGCTCCTCCTCCTCCTCCTCTTCTGCCGCCCCTCCTCCTCGTCCCCCACCCCCTTCCTCATCCATGCCTCCATCGCTCTCCTCCTTCCACTCCCCCTCTATCGCCTCTCCTATACCTTATCTTCTCCCCCTCCCCCTCCTCCTTCTTTCTCCTCCTCCTTCTCCTGCTGCTCCTCCTCCTCCTCCTCCTCCTCCTCCTCCTCCTCCTCTCCTCCTCCTTCCTCCTCCTCCTCCTCCTCCTCCTCCTCCTCTCCCCTCCCCTCCTCCTCCTCCTCCTCGTATCTCCTCCTCCTCCTCCTCCTCCTCCTCCTCCTCCTTCTCCTCCTCCTCCTTCCCCGTCCCCCCTGAAAGTCCCCCCTCCCCCGCAGCCCCGACTGGCCTCGCCCCCGACCCCCCTCCCGGCCTCCCCCCGCCCCTGCGGGAGCGCCCGCGCCGCGCGCCGCGAGACGAGCAGCGACCGCGCCGGGGAGGTGCGCCCGCGGCCGACCGGGGCCGGAAGCGCAGGGCAATCGCGCACGCGAGCACGGCAAAACCTCAGGACCCGTTTCCCTCAGGACTCGTTTCCCCCATGGCAAGACGAGGAGGACGAGAACTCGGGCGTCGCTCCGTGGAGGGGCGACAGGTGTGTGGGGGAGGAAGGTCCACTTCTCGGGCTCCAGGTGCCCCCCTTCTGAGCCCTCAAAGGCCCCTGTTCTGGGGGTGACGACACAAAAGTCGGCGGCGAGGGGGGGGGGGAGTGAGAATGCGAAGGCCCTCTCAGAAGGCAGCGGGGCTTCTCCGGAGCGCTCGCGCCTTCCGAGAGGGTTTCTGTGTCTTCGGGGAAGGCTCAGGAGACCTCTCAGAAGGCCGGGAGACTTCCGAGCCTTTTGAGAAGGCCCGCCCCTTCTCACTTCCCCCCGGGCTGGTCGCCGAAACGAAAAGTAAATTGGGCTGCGTGGAATCGGAGCGGCCAGGCGGAGTCGCATGGACCGAGCCGAGTCGCGGGCGCTCGTTCCCCTCCATTCTCTCCTCCTTGGCTCGTCCTTGCCCTTGCTCTTGCCCTCCTGATCCCCCCCCACCTCCGCCGCGCCCTCCTCTTCCACCACCAGCTTTTCCTCCTCATCCTCGCCCTCCACCTCCTCCCCTCTTGCTCCTGCAACCCGCCCTCCACCTCCACCTCCAAGTCGCCCTGTACCTCCTCCTCCTCCTCCTCCTCCTCCTCCTCTGCGTCCGCCTCGCCATCCACCTCCTCCTCCTCCTCCTTTACCTTCTGATCCTCCTCCTCCTCCTTTACCTTTACCTTTACCTTTACCTTCTCCTCCTCCTCCTGCTCCTGCCCTCGCTTCTCTCCGGAAGCGGCGGGGCACCTGGCGCTCTGCTGAAGGCCACAAAAGGGACCTGGGCCCCGATGCCCTCAGGAAGGTCCCTGCGGACTCCCGGGGATCTCTCACACTTTTACGTCGCAGCGCGGCAGAGGCGATCCGCACGCGCGCCTGGGCGAGACCGGGGCGCGGAATCGCGAACTATCCCGCGTGCAGGAGGGGGGAGGCGAGGGAGGCGGCCGCGGGAGGGGGGTCCGGGCGCGGGGGACACTCGCGCAGCCGGGCTGCGGCGAGCGGGCGGGGGCGGCCGGGCTGAAGAGCAGCCGCTGGCAGCCGTCGCGGGGCGGCATCGCGATGCACCCGCGGGTATCTCTCACACACCTCTTGCAGAAAGGTTGGGGCCAATACGAAACACGATCCTGGCGGGTATGCCTTGGCTGCCGCCGTCCACCAAAAACATCCGTGGTTGTGCCGCCCCCCCCCCCCCAAGCGCGGGGTGAAGGCGAGGGTGATTGCAGATGGGGCCCCACTCATGGCTCCGAATCTCTGATCCGTGGCCTACACGTGGACGCACAGCCGAATCATCGAAACGGACGTCATCGAAGAACAAGGTGCTTACATCCCCTGAAGATCAAATATGGTCCTAACGTCTGGACGAAGACAAACGCTGGTGCACGCCTCCTTGTGCGAACTATGGGCAGGATGCTCCATGATTGCGGGGAGGAATGCTATGGTTCCAGGCATCATGCAAGAAGGAGATCGTGGTGCGGGGCCAAAATCGCCGGCCCCCTTGTGGGGCCACCAGGCTGTAGGGCGAAGCTGCTGCTCCCTGCGCCACTTGCAGTTTCAAGTCTCCAATGTTATCATAGTCCTGCTTTCTGCTTCCCACTGTAAATTGTTGAAGTCCGCGCGAGGGGGGAGCCCCAAACAAGCAATTTGCCACGCCACGCCCGGATCGCAATCTCTGAATTCATGGGGGGGGGGCGTGGGACACTTATGCATGAGGTTCGCCCCCGAGGCCATACTCGTAAATTACGCAATGCTCGGTCCCCGAGGCAACAGACGTTAGAACATTATGCAGTTTATGCGTCCCCGAAGCAATCGCGTCCCCGAAATCACAATCCTGCGCACATTGCACAATATTCGCGTCCCCGAGGCCATAAACCATCGCAAATTACTTAATTGTTGCGTTCCTGAGGCAACACGCCCTTGTAAATTACACAATGTTCGCGTCCCCGAGGCCATACACCCGTGCAAATCACACCATATTCGCATTGCCGAGGCCAAGAGTGCGCCAAGGCGCCCGAAGGTGGTTCCAAGACGGCCCAGGAGGGCCCCAAGTTCGCTCCAAGAGGCCTCCCGAAAGTCCCAAGAGGCCCAAATCATTGATTTGACGAAAATTTTTGCAGGACTCTCGCATTTTCGGCTTTCCGACGCTCCAGGACGGCTCAAGAAGCTCCCACGACCGCCCCAAGACAGCCGAAGAGGCCAGGATAATGCCAACGTCTCAATATGCACTGATGATTCCTATCCGCCCCCGCATGATGTTCCCAGATGCGCCAAGGCAGCGAAGAGACGCACCGACGCGACTCTGATATGTCCCATTCTGATAGACAGGGGGCTGGCGGCAGGGGGCAAAGCCTTACGGATATTGGCAATCACGACTTGCAAGGTTCTCTTCTTTGAGAGGTGCCGCCCTAGGCCCCGCACCTGGGTGCTCGGGAGCAGTGGCAGCGGTGTGCGACGGGCGTCAGGTGTAGTACGATGCCTAGCCGCAGACCCATACTCGCACTGTAAACCTACAAGGGCTGCTGCCACCCTGCTTCTTCGTCGGGGCTCTACCCACAAGAACACGGAGGTGTGATTGGTTTATCCCCGGATGCTGGATGATTGGCAAAGTCAGCCTTCGTGGAAGGGCCTGGAGGCCTCTGAGAAGGCTTCCCCCCAAAACTGGAATGGCTGAGAAGCCTTCTGCCTTCTTAGAAGCCCCTCCGGCTTCTCAAAGGCCGCCCTCTCGTGCCACCCCCCTGTGCGCGCCGCCAGGAGACTGTGGAGGAGAACCTCCTCCTCCTCCTCCTCCACCGCCTTCCTCTCCTCCTCCCTCCTACGCCTCCTCCTCCTCCTCCTCCTCCTCCTCCTACACATTGTGCGCTGCCAGCACCTCCCCAGCAGCGAGAAAGCCCCGCCCGGCCCGGCGCCCTCCTGCGGCCCGCGGGGCGCTTCTCAGGAGGCGGGGGCCCTCTTAGAGGAGCCAGGAGGCTTCAAAGAAGGCGTGAGCTCCATGGAGTTATCCTAGGACTCTGGAGAGCCAAATGGGCCTGCGAGCTGAAGGCGGGCATGCGGGGCCGTTGGGCGTGCGCAAGATGTGAACGCTGGCATCCTAGGTGCTAATGCTTTCGAGCATGCCTCAACGAATTCAGAGTGGTCGTTTTGACTGTCATCGTTTTGGGTATGCCCCAACGGGTTTAGAGCGGTGGTTGCCTATAGGACAATCAGAAAGGGAGCCCAAACGAAGGCCCCCGAGAAACTGGGATTGCTGATGAGACGACCCCTGCCTCCTCAGAAGCTCCGGTCGCCTTCTTTTAGAAAGGCCGCGTCCCTTGCGCCATCCCCTTGTCCAGGCAGTGCCGCGAGGGCAAATAGGGCGGCCGCCTCCTCCAGGAAGCCCCCCTCTCCCCCCCCCCCCCGCGACCTCCCTGGACACCCCCCCAGAACCCCACAGGGACCCCCAGGAATGCCTCACAGAATGTCCAAAAAGCCTCCTCGATCCTCGCCCCTCCCTCCTCCTCGATAAAAAATTACGCGCGCTGCCAGCCCCTCCTCCAGAGGCCTCCCAAACGGGGTCCGAGCATATGGTGTCGGAGGATCGCTCCGCGTCGGCAAGGCATCGCCAGTGCATCGGCGCCGTCGGCGTGGAGAAAGTCGGGCTCCACATCGCGGTGTATCGCCGATGCATCGGCGATGCGGCACGATCCTCGGACCCCCTGGCCCCATGTGGGAGGCCCAAACCCTCAGCCGCGAGAAGGTCCCGCCCGCCGCGGCGCCCTCTCGCGGTCCGCGGGGCCCAGCTGGTGCAGCTGCACCGCCGCGGGCGCAGGCGCGTCCGCGAGCGGGGCGGTGGCGAGGCCGGTGGTGAGCTGGGCCTGGCGCCGCCGCCGCTGGTCGTCGTCATGCGTCGGGCGGCGTCGGTCGTCGTGGTCGTGGTCGTGGTCGCGGTCGCGGTTGTGGTCGTGGGGCGGAGTCGGTCGTTGGGCGGCGTCGGTCGTCGGGCGGCGTCGGTCGTCGTCGGCAGTCGTTCGTCGGCAGCGTCGTTCGCGGTCGTCGTTCGTTGGCGGCGTCGCTCGTCGCTCGTCGGTCGGCGGCCGTCGGTCGTCGTTCGTCGTCAGTCGAGGTCGTCGTCGTCGGCGGCGTCGTGGTCGTTAACACCTGCAACAGACGCGGAGGAAGATGACGACGAATCAGCAACAACTGCACGCAAGCAGCTCGACGGGAAACGGCATGACACGCACGCGGGCATACATTCTCGACGTCGGCGATGTGCGCAAGTGTGACGGCGGGGAACGCGAGGGTTTTTGGCCCCTCCTGGGGCTCCGGGTCTGGCTGACAAAGTGCGACCGCAGCTGTGCGTTTTGATTTCTGCCGGCGCCCACATGCAACATTGGAACCCACACATCTCCTCCTCTGGGGGTCGGCGACACAGCGTGGAACTCTCGAGCACAAGGTCAGCGTCTCAGGCGGCCGCAGGACAGCCTGCTGCCTGCTGGGCCCGCCCCCTGCGCGCCCAGGCCGAGGCGGCAAGGCCGACTGAAGGGGCGGGGCTGGACGTGGGCCCGAACAGGCGCGGCTGGAGGATTGAAGGGACTTACCTCTGATGATGACGAAGATGGTGACAGAGATGATGATGATGATGATGATGATGATGATGATGATGATGATGATGATGATGATGATGATGATGATGATGATGATGATGGTGGTGATGATGCTGCTGATGATGGTGGTGATGCTGGTGGTAGTGATGATGGTGATGGTGATGGTGATAAGGATGACGAAGACGATGATGATGATGCTGCTGAAGGTGACGATGACGATGCTTGCGATGATGACAATTATGACGGTGATGGTGGTGACTACGATGACGATGATGATGCTGATGCCAAAGACGATGTACATGACGATGGCGATGATGATGGTAATACTGATGCTGATGGTGACGATGATCATGACGGTGGTTAGGATGATGGTGATGATGATAATGATGACGATGATGTCAATGATGCTGGTGATGATGATGATGATCTGGATTCTGACAATGATGGCGACTGCAATGATGATGACGATGCTGATGATGCAGATGGTGATGCTGCTGCTGCTGATGATGATTATGACGCTGACGCTGATGAGGATGCTGATGCTGCTGATGATGATAATGATGATGGTGATGCTGATGATGGCGATTATGATGATGACGATGACGATGATGACGGTGATGATGCCGACAACGGCTATAGAGGTGCTGATGTTGATGCTGACAAAGATGACGATGTCGATGATGACGATGATGATGAGCATAATAACGATGATGGCGATGATGATGCTGATGATGATGGTGGTGGTGGTGATGATAAGGATGATGCTGCTGCTGATGATGGTGATGGTGAGGATGATGACGCTGCTGCTGCTGATGCTGATTACGATGATGACGATGGCGCTGCTGATGAGGCTTATGCTGCTGATGATGCTGCTGCTGATGATGATGACGATGATGCTGCGGATGAGGATGATGCTGCTGGTGCTGATGCTGATGCTGCTGCTGCTGATGATGATGACGATGCTGCTGATGATGCTGATGGTGATGATGATGAGGATGATAAGGATGATGCTGCTGCTGATGATGATGATGATGCTGCTGAGGATGATGGATGGATGGGAAGACGGCGAGCGTAGAAGGGCAGAGTTTGTCCACTCTGCCTGCCATGCCCTCCTGTCTCCTTGGACGGTGGGACGGCCTTGCACAGGAGAAGGATGAGGGGGGGAGGAGTAGGAGGGGGAGGAGGGGGAGGAGGAGGAAGAGGGGGCATAAGAGAAAGACGGTGATGGTGATGATGATGATGAGGAGGAGGAGGAGGGGGAGGAGCCGGAGAAAGCTCCTTCGTCTCGAGGGAAGGTTGGGGGTGGTGGGGTGGGGGCTGGCTCCTTCGCTCGATCGCCCGCGCCGCGGCGTGGCCGCAGCGCCAGCTAGGAACATGAGGAGGAGGAGGAGGAGAATGAGGAGAAGAAGGAGGAAGAGGACGAGGAACGAGGAGGCTGGACGACGGGGGGGAGGGGAGGGAGGACTATCGGGACCATCGATCGGTGCACCAGGGTGCGGAGACGGAGAGTACAAGCGAACTTCGGCCTACCCCCCCTCCAGGGAGCAGCGCCAGCAACGGCCTCGGCTAACACTCGCGCGTGGCGGGCTGCTCGGACACGTGAGGTCAGGACCGTGGCCCGCAAGAAACAGGGTAGAACGATGAGGGGGAGGACCGACCGTGGAGGAGGAGGGGGAGGAGGAGGATTGCCGTAGTAAACTTAGGACACGTCATCATCGATGCTGCAACGCACCCTCACGTCCCAAGTCCCCTCATCGTGAATCCCTGAACGCGTCCCCTGCCACTTCGGGAGTACCTCCTTAGCAGGCGGGAGCCCCATGGGCTGGCCATTCAAGCGAGAGCCTTGTTTTGAAAAGGATCCGCCCTCCAGCCGTGTAACTGCTGCTCCATGTAGAGCCTCCCTCCAGCAGTTAAGCTGTTGCACAATTCTTTACGCCTGATACCGTGATTGAAACGGTTCCAGCATATTCCTATTGCTGCAACAGAGACGCCCTCCGTTCTTGAGGTTGTTGGAATATATGAAGACGAATGTGTGTGTGTGTGTGTGTGTGTGTGTGTGTGTGTGTGTGGGGGGTCACATCGAGAACCACATTTCGGAGACGGGCTACCCTCGATTCGTGTAACTGATGTAAGCTTTGAAACCGGATCTAATGTTCGAGGCTCTTCGGCTAGAGCCAAAGGATGAAACCGACCCGCCCACCAAAACGAATGTGCGCGGCACTGAGACGAGAGCCACATCTTGAAAACACATCGCCCCCTGTCAATATAAATATTGAAACTTTTACGACCGACGTGCCCAACGCTCAAACTAATGAGACCTTTTGGAAACCAGTCGCCCCCATCCGTGTAACCGTTGAACATGTTGAAGATGATAATGCGCGGCACTCAGGGGAGAACCACAATTTTGAAACCACCCTCGCTCCATCGGTGTAGCCATTGAAAATTTCACACCTGAAGGCCACAAACAACGGGGAAATCTTAGGTGAAACACCCAGCCGGTCTTACCGACCCGTCTCGTGGTGCGGCGGGGAGGAAGTACATATTCACAAGAAAGAGTGATGGACAAGGACGGGGAATGTGGGAGGGCGTGGAGGAAAACCAAACGACGCAAGCAACAACTTTCGAATGCCGGCGCGGACTTCGCGGATCGGCGCCGGGCGCCCCTCCCCCAGAGCACGGAGCGCCGGGGGGCGGCCCAGCGCAGCTCCAAGGAAGCCGCGCGGACTTCCCAAAACGTGTGCTTATTCAGTGTGGTTTCTTCCTCGATGGGGGAGGTACGAGGCATGTAGGGAGCCCGCAAAAGACGTACGCGCCCAACCACGTACGTGAACACGGCCCCCCAGTCCGCGAGACCAGCCTCGTGATACGAAGGTTCGCGCAGTGCGTACTCTCGAAACCAACGTGGATTCCTGAGTAGGTCGGAGACATGGACCCTGAGCCGTGATGCCCACGACCCCCCCGAAGCCCGGAAGCGGGAGCCCGCGCCCAGCCTGGTGCCGCGCCAGCTCGGCCTGGGCGGGGCCCGAAAAGTTTTCGCGGAGCATACCTCGCACTCCTACTCCTCCTCGTCCCTCCTCCTCCTCCTCTTCCTCCTGCTCCTCCTTCTCCTCCTGCTCATCATGCTGCTGCTGCTGCTGCTCCTCCTCCTCCTCCATCTCCTCCTCCTCCTCCTCCTCGTCCTCTTCCTCCTCCAAACTCATCCTGCTCCCTTGCCCCCTCCCCCTTTCCCCCCGTCTTCCGCATGCTCCTGCTGGGGCGGGCAGCGAGGAGCAGCTCGCTACTCGTTCGCAGACCCTTGGCCGCGCGACGGGGGCGGCCTTCCAAGACGGCGGGGGGGCTCCCAAGAAGGCAGGCGGCTTCTCGGGAGCCCTCTCTGCTTCTCGTCCCTCCTCCTCCTCCTCCTCCTCCTTCTGTGAGGCCTCCTCCTCCTCCTCCTCCATCGCCTCCTCATATCCTCCTCCTCCTCCTCCCCCTACTCCTCCACTCCTCCTCCTCCTCCTCCTCCTCCTCCTCCATCTCCTCCCTCTCCTCCTCCCTCTCCTCCTCCTCCTCCTCCTCCTCCTCCTCCTCCTCCTCCGCCTCCTTCTTTGAGGACTCCTCAGGGAAACTCTGGGCCCGTCTCTGGAGTAACCAGAAAACTGCATGCGGCCAAGCATATCATCAAGAAAATTACCATGCAAGAGATCTGGGCCAACTTCCCAGACGCTCCTCAAAACAAGCCTGGGATAATTTCTGCTGCTACCGCTGGATGGGCGAAGGCGCTCAAGAAACTTGACCATTTTTCCGGCAAGTTGGTCAAGAAGCGCTGGCCCAGCTTCTAGGGAGGAGGTTTCTTAATCAGACACTCGGCTGTAAGCATACATCTTCGGAGGCCCGCGCGGATTTTTCAGATCGGCGCTGGAACCCTCAGGCGCCGCCAAGGGGGGTCAAGCGCAGATCCGAGAAATCCGTGCGGACCTCTGACATTGATGTTCATGCAGTTTTTGTTCTTCGAGCTAAGACTTCGAGGAGATCGCTGTTCTGGAGAGACCAAAATATACCGATAACCGCTACTCCATGGACCTCTTCCGTGGTGCGTTCTGACTCGAATTTCGAAGGGAATCCAGCCATGGCGACGAGGGCAAGAGTAGTGGTACTAAACCATTTCTGCCTACGATGTTCGTTCGCGGACTTCCCGACATCATGCCTTCACGTCGTCGAGGCACTGCCCGAGCAGCACCTCCAGCTCCGTGCGCTGCTGCAGCAGCTCTGCCTGCTGCGCCTCCGCCCGAGAGGGTCGCCAACCGACCACCTCACTGGTCCAGCCCGAGCCCATCCTGCGCTTAGGATCGGTGTATACCCAGACCTCCAACGTACTGACACATTCAGTGCGAAAGGTTTTCACACTTTTCGGCCACTGGGGACCCTCGCCGGGCCCCGGGGCCGTAACAACAACAGCAGCAACAACAACAGCAACAACAACAACACCAACACCACCAACAACAACACCACCAACAACAACAGCAACAACAACACCACCAACAACACCACCACCACCAACAACAACAACGCAAGATGCAAAGCCAATCTCGGAGAAAAGGTCGGGAGTTGCGGGGGCCCCGCCTTGAACAAATCTGTACATCGGATCTCTGGGTGCGCCCTCCTGGCTTGGCCAGGGAGGCGTAGTCTCGAAACGAGAAAACTGCACAAACATAGAATGTTGGAGGTCCGCGCGGATTTCTCGGCGCTGGACCCTCCTACCTAGCGCACGGAGCGCTTCAGGGGCGGCGCCGGAGGCGCCGCCAGGGGGGCCCAGCGCAGAGCCAAGAAATCCGCGCGGAGCTCTAGCAGTTGATGCTTATGCAATTTTGTCTTCTTCGGATCCTGGCTCAGCCAGGGAGGCGCAGTCATTGATCCTTCGGTAGCAACTCATGGGAGCCTTCCATACCATCTTGTCGGCTCTTGCGAATCGACGCCAATCGACGCACATCGACCTTCATTGACGCTGATCGACGCTAGCCGACGCGACATCGGCGCTATCTCATCGACTCCCAGACGCTAATCCACGCTAGTCGACGCCAAAGACGGAATTGAGAGGGCATACTGGGCTCCCATGACTTGCTTCCGAACGACCCCTGGTCCAGGATGGGCGCGGCCCAGATTGGCGAGGCGGTCGGTTGATGCCCCCCCGGCCTTCAAGGCCCTCACGGACTGGCGCTCGGCCTCCACCATGCGCTTCAGCTTCGTCACCGCTTCCCGGTATCCCACCTGAGTGAGAAGGAGAAGGCCTTCTCAGACCGCTCGGAAGTCCTCCGACCTTCGGAGAAGTTTTCGAAGCCTTCCCCGAAGCCACAGAAAACTTCCCAGAAGGCGCGAGGGCTTCTGAGACGTCCCGCCGCCTTCTGCGAATGCCTTCTCCTTCTCGTTTCCCCCCCTCGCTCGCTTCTGACGGAAGCTCAGATGCCCACCGTCCCGAACACATCATGACGGAACCTCTTCGCCGTTCTTGTAGCCTCCTCCTGGGGCCCTCGTTGGGCCCCTGGGCCGTCAGCAACGGCTCGGGATTGACAAGCCGAGGGGGAAGGGCTGGAACCTCAGGGGGCCTCGCATGGAAGAAATCGAGACATCGGTGGGTCTCGCCTTCGGCGCACCTCACATTCGGCGCACGTCGCCGTCGGCGGAAGCCGGCGGAATGCTGGAGGAAGCCAGCGGGAGTGAAACGGTGGTTGGTCCGCTGGTGGAAGCAAGCGCGAGACGTCAACATTCTTGGATCCAGAGTTCCGGAATGGCAGTGATCTGCACTGTCCGGTGGCAGGGGGGGTCTTCCTGGGCCCCAGCGCGCACAAGAAATGGGCAGGGCCCCTCGCCAGACAGCCCTCCGAGGTGTCGTCCGAGGCCCACCCAACGGCCAAGCAAAGTCTTGGAGGAAAGCTCCCCTGAGGTCCAGGCGTCGCCGTCGTCGACGATCGATCAAGGCTCGCGTGCCGAAGATTTTGTTCGTCACTTCCTACCTCCTGGGGCCCGTCTCGAGCTTCGGGACCGTCCGAAGTTGATCTGGGGTGAAAAGCTATCCAAGAGGGATTGAGCGTCGCAATTCAGGTGTTTCCTGTGCAGTTTCGGGCCCCGGGGCCCTCATATATCGGCCCGGCTCGAGAAATGCCGCAAAGAGTTGGGGTGGAGGGCTCGGATCGTGAATGTTTTCACGGCATTGGAACTCCTCCGCGTCGTCGGATCTCATGATCTGGGCAACCGGCTTGACAGCATCGAGCGAAAAGGGCGGGGGAGTTGTGCCGCGCGCCATGAGGAGGGCCGCGGAATACGAGAAGCCATCGATCAGAGACCACGGATCACCAGCTCCGTTTTCGAATGTCAGCGGGGAAGAAAGTCACGAACAACGGTTGATCAACGGCTCTGGGCCACCAAGACCGTGTTTGAGAAAACGCTGCAAGCACGGTCACGAAGCATGACGGAGGACGAGTACTGGGCCAAGAAATCGATTTGGACCCGCTCGCGACCCCACGACGAGACCACACAACACGACAGACCATGGGCTGCGGACCACGAGTTCCCTGCCTCAGTCCCACCACGAGGAGGAAAACCTGCGAGACACGACGAGCGAAGCACGACGGAGCGTGGACCACCAAGCCCGTACTCCGCGCCCAATGTCAAAGATAACCGCTCAACGTGATGGACCACGGGCCACTGACCACTGGGCCCAATTTTGCGAGCCCGCGGGGGGGAACCCACAACTCGCCACGGACGATATCCAATCAATGCCCGAGACCCCGCAGCAGGGACGCCACGAATCAGGACGAAACCCCACGAAGGGGGGGACAACGAAACATTACGGACCACGGGCCACAAACCCGCTTCCCGAGACCCCAGGAGAGGGAGTGCCACGAGGCACGAGGGACCAGTTGCCACGGACCACCAAACCTTTCCTTGATACCTGGCGTCGAGGGTATCATGAAACATGGCGGACCAGATGCCACAGACGATCAACTCTACTTTCAAGATCACGCGCCACCCATACACGCAAAGACATCAATCATGACGGACCAGGGGACACAGGACACCAATCCATTTTTGAACTTATTGCTTGGAGCCCTCCGACAAAGACGACCGCGAAACACGACAGACCAAGTGCTACGTGTCGTGAGATTCTACGACCAAAAATGCAACAACATACAACGGATCACAAGTTACGGACCATCAAGTTCTCAGGTCCGTGCTCGAGGCCCTACGACAGCGAACGACCCTCTGGGCACGGTGGGTCACGGAACACCGATCCAATTTGCCAGGACTCCACGGAGAAGACGGGCTACGGCCCTCCGATTCCACTTGAGGCCTCACATGTGCAACATCGAACTGTCATGCAACGTGTCGCGCCATGCCTTGCACTGCCAAACCGTGCCATGCAAGACAGTGTATGCCATACCATGTCTGGCCGTGCCCTGCCGTCTAACCTCGCCCCTTGCCATCCATGCTGTGCCACACCTTACCACGTCGTGCCAGGACATGCAGTGGCATGACAGGTCAGTTCATGCCATGCCACACTGCACACAACATGCTATGCCATCCAACACCACAACACTCCATACTGATAGGCGCAGGCGTACTTTTTTGTACACAGATGCGTATCGTGGAACGAGATCTCAGCAACTCTGGCTTGCGCGATAGCTTTCTTGGAGCTTATGTTCCATCCCCATTCCCATTTACATCGCACACAAGTCCGTTCCATCGCGGACGGCTCAAATCTTGCACGGCTTGCCTTCTCGGCCACAAGAATCGGGCTGATCTCACCCAAACTCCTCAACCCTGTCTGGTGAGCTCGATGCGCGCACTGCGGGTCCCTCCGACCGCTCCGAGCCGGACGGCCCTGGGCCTGAGATAAGGCCTACTCCTGAGGGAAACATCGCGGTGCGTGTGCGTGTGCATGCTCGTGTTTGTGTGTGTGTGTGTCATCTTTTCACCAAATGCACCTGTCTGCACGGCCGTGGCTGGACCCTTTGATCACGACGCGTTCGACTAAGTTCGTCCGCAATTGGCACTTCCATCTGCCGACCGCGCCTAGGTTACTCTGCGCCGCCGACTTAAAAGTGTGTGTGTGTGGGTGTGTGCGTTGGGGGGCCGTAGCCTGGCTCAAGCGTTGGCTCAAGCGTTTGGATCAAACCGCTCTGCATCAAGCCGCTGGCCGCCAGGAGGCCACTCCCCCTTTCTCTTACTTCCCACTCGTTTCACTCCCTGGTACCCCGGTCGCGTGGGACCCAAGCGTGCGCTTGCCCATCACCCGCTGGCAACATGCTCGCGCTCGCACAGAGGCGAGAGGGAAGCGGAGCCCGAGGAGCGCCAGGCGATCGAGGAGCACTGGCGACGGTCCCAGGCGGACACGGCGGCGCGCGCGGAGTAGCTGCGGGAGGACTCCTTGGGTGGCCTTGCGGGCGTTTGCACGGGCTGCGCGGTGGACCTCATCCTGGCCGTGCAGGGGGCGCCGCGGGGCTCAGGGTGGCCAGGCAGGTGGCCGGTGCCTGCACCAGCGGCCTCCGGCGCGTCGAGCGCCAGGCGGCCCGGCGCCGTCATGGAGGGTCCGGAGCCGGAGCTGAAGATCGTGGGCGCGTGCTGCGGCGCCGTGCTCCCTGCCTGCCTGTCGAAGTACGGCCCGCCCGTATCAGAAGGAGGCGCGATAAGGATGCGAGGGCCCTGGACGCCCATTTCGAAGCTTCTCGAGGCGGGGCGCGGCCGACGAGAGTGGCCAAGGATGGACCGAGGAGGCCAGGGCGCAAGGGTACCCTTGGGAAGGTTGCCCATCCTTGCTATGCGGGCTGACTGTGCGACGCGATCCGTGGCTTTCTGCTCCTCTCGCCGTGGCGCTCGCCAGTCCGCTGGCGGGTGCGCCTCTGCAAGAGGAGGGACGGACGCCCCGCGGCGGCAAGGGCACTGGTGCGCGCCTACCTTTTACCCGCTGAAGAATACGTGTGGTCTAGTGCAGCTCTGGCACGGGCAAGTCGGCACTGGTGCCATCACGGCAGTCACCGCGACCTTGCCTTGCAGGCCGGGCAGCCAGAGCGCGCGGTTGCGGACCAGATGTTGCTGGGCAAGTCCATCTCCTACCTGGTCTTTATGGTTCACGATGGTGGCCTGCAGCACATGCATCTTCTTTACGGAGCTCCGTGAATATGCCACGGGCGTTATCTCGTAGCTTCAATATCACATCAACGCACGGGGTGTGCGTATGACACCTTCAATTGTGGTGCATGATTTGGTGCAGATTTGGTGGTTCGAACTTTCGGCATTTAACACAATGGAACGTTATATATACTTTTCCAGAATGCGTCTGTCGGGTCTCGGGCCGCTTCCTTTCACTGTGAGCAGGTCTATATTGCGGGCATCGGTGCAGCGCGCTTGGCTATGACCACTTTCATGTCCTGTTTTCGGTAGTGGCTCACAATCCGTACTTTCCTTCGAGGCATCTCCTCTTGTCACTTCCGAATTCCTGGCTTGTGATGTGTACAGCGTGCTTGTTTCTTATGTAAGATGTAATTCGAACGCACTCTCGCCTCCACCCCTCCTTGTTCTCTCCTTGTCTTCTTTTCCTCCCCCCGCCGTTCCCCTCTTCTTCTGGGTTGCTGGCAGGGCGATGCCCATGCCGCACTGCTCCGTTCCTCAGGCGGTCAGATGTGACAAGCGCGCTCCTATTCAGTGCGAGTCGGTTGCGTCTCCCAGCCAGTAATCCGCACCAGCACGCAGCCAGTTATCCCACTGGCTGTGAGCCCGACTGGTTCACATCAGGCTGCCCCCCCTGGCAAGACGGCATCCCATCTCTGCCACACCTTTTCCCTTGGCGGGGGGCACTCCGCCGGATCGTTTCTCTCCCTATGGCGCGGGGGGCAATCCGCCTGTGCTCATCTCTGCACACTTTCCCTCGGCGGGGGGCACTGCGCTGGTCCCTTTCTTTCCCCTTGACGGGGCGCAGTCCGCCTGTGCACATCTTCTCGCTTGGCGGGGGGCAATCCGCCATTACTCCCTCACTCGTCCCCCTCATGCTTCTCCTGGAGGACGAAGAGGAGGAGGAGGAGGAGGAGGAGGAGGAGGAGGAGGAGACGACCGTAGAGGATGAGGAGGAGGATGAGGAGAAGGATGAGGAGGAGGAGGAGGAGGAAGAGAAGGAGGGGGGGAGGGGGAGGAGGAGTAGGAGGAGGAGGATGAGGCGGAGGAGGAGGAAGATGAGAAAGAGGAGGAGGAGGAGGAGGAGGATGAGGAGAGGAGGAGGAGGAGGAGGAGGAGGAGGAGGGGAGGAGGAGGGGGAGGAGAGGAGGAGGAGGAGGAGGAGGAGGAGGAGGGGGAGGAGGAGGAGGAGGGGGAGGAGGGGGGGAGGAGGAGGAGAAGCAGCGCCGCTGCCCCTCTCGCCCGAGGCACGGCCTCCAGGTGTGTGCAGGCGGGCCTCCAGCCTCCCTGTGGCCCCTCCTTTCTCCCCCTCCCCTGCCTCTGTCAGGGCTGGACCTAAACGTTGTGATTCGTTTTGTTGTCGTTTTATGCTTCGTTTTGCTCTATCTGTTTTCCTGTACCTCCCTCTCAAAACAACAAACAAAACACAACCGCAGTCCAGCAAAACAGCGTTTAGGTCCAGCCTTGGCCTCTGTGTTGCGCCTCCTGGGAACAACACCACGCACTGGAAACAAAGCACACAGTTGAAAACAAAACCACACACAGTCTGTGGAACAGGCACTCTGCTTTTTCCCCACTCCCGCCCCACCCCCCCAGTGTTTTTTTTCGCAATTTTTTCCACAGCCTCGCCTCCGTCCTCGGCTGGCTCAATCTCCTCTTCGTGTCTTGCACTGCCCTTACGGTGTATGGTGTCTCCTTCTTTCCCCTCGGCTCCCCCTCCTCTGTCAGCCGGCTCATGCCCCTCGCGTCCGTCCGTCTTCTCCCTCGGCTGTCCGCTGTCGCTTCTCGCTCCTTGCTCCTCCCTCGCTTTGCTTGGCCCTCCTTTCCCCTGTCCTGCTTGGCCCTGGTCGTTGCAATTCTGGCCAGCCTTGGCCTTGCGATGTGAATCCTTTGCCTGCCGCCTCGGCGTTCCGCCGGCCGGGCTTGTTCCACCGCCCCGTGAGAGGCCGGCCTGCTTGGCGCGCGCGCGGCCGCCGCGCGTGCGTCTGATGCTGCGGCGCTGCGCCCACCCGCCGCCGACCAAAAACTGTGTGTGTGTGTGTGTGTGTGTGCGTGTGTGTGTGTGTGTGTGTGTGCGTGTCTGCGTATGTGGGTCGAACCGCTGATTGCAGCCCACCGGCGCGCCGGAATAGTGAAACATGTGTGCGTGTGTGCGTGCGTGTGTGTGTGTGTGTGTGTGTGTGCGTGTGTGTGTGTGTGTGTGTGTGTGTGTGTGTGTGTGTGTGTGTGCATTTCTATGCCGTCCCGCCGCGCTCGTGGCCACGACGCCAACAAGTGTGTGTGTGTGTGTGTGTTTGTGTTTGCGCTCCTCTTGGCCTGCTGCCATTGCATCCCGTCCACTACTGCGCCACGCTTGCAGGCCTCGGCCTGCCCCTGGTCCGTCACTGCCTTCTCTGCCTGTTACTGACCATGGCTCTCTCCGCCCCTGTGTTGTCGTTCCCTTCCACCCCGCTCTCACATGCCTCCTCGCGAATGATGCTGCGTGGTCCCGGCATCTCCCTGCTGTGTGAGCTGGCCCAGTCCGCGCGCGCTGCCCGTCGTCCGACCTTGCTCCGCCGCGCGCGTGGCCGCGAAGCTAAAACGTACTTGTTTGTTTGTTTGTGTGTGGGTGTGGCATTTTGTCAGCTGCGGGGACCTGCCTCTGCACCGCTTGATCGGGTCCCGTTGGGCCGCCAACGTGAATGTGCGTGCGTGTGTAAGCGTGTGTTCGTTTGTGTTTGCTTGTGTGTGTGTGTCTGTCTGTGTGTGTGTGTGTGTGTGTGTGTGTGCGCGTCGGGCGGGGCGGCAGCAAGCGGCCTCGCGTTCGTACTGCTTGTTGTGGGTGCTCTGGAGGCGCGCCTGGCAAGATCAATCAACACCAAGCCGAGAAATCGGATCGGATCGGAGTGTGCGTCGGATCGGGCTGCATTGGCACGGAATCCAACAACGCCTATGTAAAACATCGGGCCGCATCTAATCAACGATATATATGTATATATAGATTATATATATATATATATATATATCGAAACCGAACTGGGTCGAGCCGGCCAGAATCAACATCGAATCGGATCGATCGGACCGAAATGGGCCCTGGAACCCGTGCGCCCAACGTCTTGATTTTTTAAGCCGTGGACTCCACAAAATCTCGACCCACTCCCCCCGGGACCGGCTCTTTGTCACGAACCGCTGTTTGATGGCTCTGGGGCCCGGCGAAGGCCCCAAAAACCGAAAAGGGCAACGAACAAAAAAAGCGCCGTGATGTTTGTCCACGACGCCTGGTCGATCTGCCTCTGCGTGAAGGTCCTCTTCTCGGGCTGCTCCTCCTCCTTCGCGCCCTCGTCGGACGGGGCCCCGCCCTCCTTGATGCTGGCCTTGAGGCGTGCCGCCTCCTTCCTCGGGGGGGTGGGGTGAGTGGGGGGACGAAGGGGGGGTGGGAGGCAGAGGAGGGGGAGGTGGAGACGGGGGAGGAGGAGGGGGAGGCAGAATGGATATCGGGCGTCCCGAGACCGTGCCGAAAACCACGTGGCAACCACGCGTGCAGCCCACACACGCAAGGCGCACGCGCACACGTGTCAAACAGAATGGTCAAACCGACTGCCTTCGCATATGTCAACCACGCACGTGAGCCTGCTCTTGCTGGCGCAGAAAAAGCTAACAAAAAACACAAATGACGGCCTGGGACCCTCGCTCGCTCTGAACGGCTCCCCCCCCCATAAACCGATGTCTGGAATCGAACATCTTCCGCTATTCGCCCTGAGCGGAGGCCTCCGGCAATGAACGTATAGCGAAAAATTACAATCAACTACGCGTTTGAGGCGCCAAACTCTGTTGGCCTGCACCTCAACGCGCACACCAACATGACGATCGGCGCGTTCCCGGCCATTGTGCCGTGCTTAGTAACCACGAATGAGGTATTCACCCAGCTTCCCGCAACTTTTTCGAAGAGGACGTTCTGCTATACTCTGTTAGCCGATGCGGACCCCAAACCATGTATTTCTAGCAATCGATGTGAGGCCATCTACGTGAAACAATCTATGTGGTGCAATTGATCTTTATCAATGATGTGACACATCTCATGCTCTTGCAAACATCCCACCCACCCACCCGTAACTTGGTTTGCAAAACCTCTTAAGACCGTGACGGTAGGTTCCAAATGGCACTTGGCAACGACACCGCCGTCGACGACGACGACGCCACCGACGACTACGACGACACCGACGACGTCTCCGACGACTTCGACGACAACGACAACGACGACGACGACGACACCGACGACGACGACGACGACGCCGACGCCGACGACGACGACGACGATGACGACGCCGGCGACGACGACGACGCCGACGACGACGACGTCGACGACGCCGACGACGTCGACGACGACGACGACGGCGGCGACGACGACGCCGACGTCGACGACGGCGCCGACGCCGACGCCGACGACGACGTCGCAAACGAAGACGACGACGAGCGAGAAGGGAGCACGACGACGGCGACGACGACGACAACGACGAGGGAGGAGGGAGGACGGCGACGACGCGAACGACGAAGAAGGGGAGAGGACGGCGACGCCGACGACGACGACGAGGGAGGAGGGAAGACGATGACGACGACGACGACGACGACGACGACGACGGCGACGAAATAGGAGGGACGACGACGAGACGCCGACGACGGACGACGACGAGGGAGGAGGAACGACGACCACGGCGACAACGACGGAAACGACCACGACGCCAAAGAGGACGACGACGACGAACACGAGGAAAGACAGAGGACGACGCAGGCGACGACGACGACGCGGGAGGGGGGAGGACGGCGACGACGACGACGACGCAAGAGCGCGCGCGCACGCTTTTGTTGAAAATCCGTGTTGCGAAACCTTGTGTTTTTGTAGGTTTTTTGGACACGCGATTTTGACATCCTTCCGAAACCGATGGGTTCTGAAGGATTTGGGCATACGCGCGCGACGACGCGCGCGTCTGCACTTCGTCCCGTTTTTTGCAGAGGACTCTCGCGACGGCACACGCGCAAGGGCGTTCGAGAGATTTCGACATGCGCGCGCGCGAAGCCCGTTTGGTAGCATTTTGTGAAAATCTTGAAAAACCCTTGGTTTTCTTAAGATTCCGCAAGTCGCGCGTAAGCTTTTTTAGCAAATCAGTGTTGCGAAACCCTGTGTCTTTGTATGTTTTTTGGAAACACCATTGCGACATCCTTCCGGCACCGAGGGTTTTTAAAGGATTTCGGCATGCGCGCGCGACGACGCGCGCGCGTGTACTTCGTCTATTTTTGTTTCCAAGGGATTTGTGCAAAAGTGTTATGTTAGAACAAAAGGTGTCCCCGCGTATCGTTTTTTACAAAAAGGAACCTCAGGGGGGTCGATCCCGGCCCCTCTGGGATAGTGTAAATTCATATTTAGGATGGACATGTGGTCAGAATCATATATGATTTACATACCCGAAAGGGGGGCGGATAACGCCGGGGAGGGGGGGGGGGTAGAGTCCATCGTGTTTTTAGAAAGGAGAATCGATGTTGTGCAGTATATGTTATGCAGTCTAGGTGGAGCAACCTTGGTGGTGCAATCTATATGGTGCAGTCGATGTGGTGTAGTTTGTGTTGTGCAATAGATGTTGCGCAATACATGTATATATATATGTGTATATGTATAGATATGTACACATATGTTGCAATCTCCGTGATGCAGTCTTGTTTGGGCAACCTATGTGGAGCAACATATGTGGGCATGCTATGATGTGCAATCTACGTTGCGTAATCCATGTGGCGCAACTAATTTTTATTCGCAATGAGTTGCATTATCAACGGCTCGCGCAATAATCCCGCCCACCCACCCGAAAGTTGGTTTGCAAAACCCATGCGACGGTGATTGCGATGACTGCTCGGCGCTGGCTGGCGCATCGATGCGGCCGCGCCAGCGCGCAGGCTCGCGCGCAGAGCGGCCAGCTAGTTTGGCGCGGCCGATGCGGCCGCGGTGGCGCTGACCGCTGGGGACTTCTTAACGCGTCGTGCAGGCCGCGCTGACGCGCGGGCATTTCCGTGCGAGTCGGTGACTCGGGCGGGCGCGATATCATGGCGATGTCGACAGCAACAGACACGATGACGATAGTAGCGAAGCCAGTGACGATGCTGGTGATGGTGATGGTGATGATGATGATGATGATGATGATGATGATAATGATAATGATGATGATGATGATGATGATGATGATGATGATGATGATGATGATGATGATGATAATGATTCTCCCGCTCGCGCGCTAGCGAGCTGTCTCCGAGCGCGGCCGCGGCTCGCGCGCGCGGGGCGGCCCAAAAAGGGCAGGCCCGTCCCGCGCGCTCGTGCCGGGGCGCCGCGCGTCAGGCGGGGGAGACCGCCTGCTCGCCGACGACGGCGAGGCAGCGCCCATCAGCCTTAGATTGGGAGAGGAGGGAGGGGGGCAGAGAAGCTGCGGAGACAGCAGGAGCTTGCTCACAGAGAATAGAAGAGGCATTCTCCCGCTCGCGCGCTAGCGAGCTGTCTCCGAGCGCGGCCGCGGCTCGCGCGCGCGGGGCGGCCCAAAATGGGCAGGCCCGTCCCGCGCGCTCGTGCCGGGGCGCCGCGCGTCAGGCGGGGGAGACCGCCTGCTCGCCGACGACGGCGAGGCAGCCATACCCGTGCTCAAGGACCTTGCGAAGTGACAAGGTTTCGGCGGGCGGCCGCAAGTAGGGCAGGCCAAGCGGCGGGGCCGACTTGGAGAAATGAAGCGACAAGGCGGTCGCTGGCGGTGGCGAAGAACAGGATCCGCGCCCGTGCGGGCACGGGCAGCGCAGCAAGAACTGTGGAAGCGGCGGCGGCTTGCAGGTAGCGCTCAGCACTGGAAGCCTGACGCCAACGCCCCCGCCAGAAGACGCGAGGGACGTCTTCCGTAGCGATATAGAAGTCTGTTGCGCCAGAGCCCCGCAGACATGCGGGCGTCAGGTTGAGCCCCTGACCCGCTTTGGCAAGAGGGACGCCCAGGGCCGAAAGCAAATGATTCCACCGAGTACGGAAGCCGCTCGCACCGAAAGGGGCGAGAGGATCGGTGGAAGCCAACCGCCCAAACACTTGATTCAGTATCTTCACCGTGCCCCGATCGGAGCAGCGAGCATGCTGCGTCGGGTACGTTCTCCTGGTCTTTGGAACAAGAATCGAAAGAAAAGCATCCCCTTCAACTTCGAGGCGGTCGCAAGGAAGCGACAAGTCACAGCGGCGTGACGCCAGCAGCTCGCCAGGCCTGAGGAACATCGTAAAGCCCATGAGCAGCAAGGCCGCCATCACAGGCCAGTCCCAGGCGAAACAGAGACCGACCATAGCGCGCAGCAGCGCGCGAGGTAAGGGCGGGCGGAGCTTTGGCGGCTCCGCGAGCTTCCATTGTTTCGCTACGTCCCAAGCTTCTGTTAGAAAGGCCTTCCAATGCGGATGAGCGCTCTGGATTCCCAAGATGGCATGAACCAGAATATAATGAGGGAAACCTGCATCATGAAGCCACACGCCGAAGGTCGCGAGGAAGCGGGCGAGAAGTATCCCGCTACGGTAAAGAGTGGCGGGCGGCACGCCAGTGTGTTCTGCTAACCACAGTTCGAACGCATCAATCGATCTCGAGCGACGATCGAGATACGCGGAGGTGAGGTGAGAATCGCGCACGAAGGGAGTGCGCGGAGGGCGAGCGGGCGCGGAAGGCGCAGCCCGACTAAGCCCTTGGCCTGCGGTCGGCGCCGCGGCTCCCAGAGAGATGCAGAGGCCGCAGACGCACCACAGGATGAGCGCAGGGCGGCCAGGGCTGGGAGAGCTGATCAGCGTGGCGGCCCTCCTGCTCCTGGAC